GAACTGTAAAGGCAGACGTCAGACAGCTGCCGCACATCTGTACAAACGCTCATAGTTCCAGCTGCTGTCCCCATTTAAGCATGTCAGTCCAGGACCCTGGACCCAAAAGCCGCGTTAGCATATTTTTAATGGAGCGCCTGTTCCTTTTTGAAGTAAAAAAGTCCATTGTGCTTCAGTTTAAAGATGAACGGAGGAGGAGGAGGGCGTGGAACTCAGTGTGAAAGCTTAAACGTCCCCCCCCCCCCAACTTAGGAGACTGGTTTGGTCAGCAGCCAGCCCAAAAGTTCTTACGCAAAAGTGAGAAACCTAACACTTTGATTTCGATCTCGCGAAGATGGTTGAACTACTGTAAATAAAGATGTAATAAAAGCTAAATAAACAAATATACCTTTTGAAAACGACATGGTGATGCTTGTGGTCAGTGTGTGTCCCCCCACAACCCCTCAGGCTGGGCAAATAAACGGGTTGTCCGGTTCGTCTCCATCTCTGAGCTCAGACAGATGCCGCCAGATGTTGTACTGCACTGGACGTGGCTCTAGCCCGGTTGATAAAGCTCCGAAAATGCGAGTGTCCAGGAAGTGGAGCTAACGGCGTCTCGCGGAGCATCCTCGTTCGGTTTCCATGGTTTCCTTCTGAACAAATCGGGGTCTCTCTGGGGGATCCTGCCTCGCGACTCCCAACGATTCCCGCTTTAAAAACCGCATCTACCGCCAACAAACGTCGGGAGAAACGTCCTCCCCGGAGCTCGGAATGCGCGCCCCCGCTCGTGCACGTGGCCTCGCCGCGCGCGCCCCCTTTGCAGCCTGAAACCGGAGGATGCGATGCACAATTCCGACCCGACCGGGGAGGGGGGGTGGGTTGGGGGGAGGACAGCGGTCTCGCCCCTCCTGCGAAGTCCAGCCCCCAGCAGAGGCAGCCGCCGCCGCCTCCCAGAAGCGATGATCCGGCCTCGGAGGACGACGGATGCCGCGTTTCGGAGCAGGTAACGCCTCACCAGCAGGGACGAGCCGGCGCTGGAAGGGGGGGGGGAGCGCTGATCTTGGAGGTGTAAACAACTCGGAGCCCCGGACCGGACCCCGGCCCCCGACCCCACTCCGTAGCCGGGACGGAGCGCCTCTTCGTCGGGGAGCAGCAACCGCAGGCTACCGCTGATGTCCCGGTGAGGTATTTGGAAGTTGGGTGTCCGGGATCGGACGGATCGAGGCGGGGTTGGAAGGGGTAGTTGGGGGGCGGATGGGGGGTGCCCCTGCAGCCTGACGACCCGCTGCTCGGGCCCCCCCCTCCTCTCTGGTCGGCCCCCGCCCCCCCCCCCCCCCCCAGTCTCTGCCCAGTGCCTGTATGCTCTGCAGACACTCACGTCTGGGCCATGTTTTTCCCACCATCACTTGCTTCAAACTTCAGTCCTGGCGCTCCGAGGATGTGACCATCTGACATTTTTGGATAGGCCTGATAGACCTGAAAGCATCCCCCCCCCCCCCCC